ATCTGTAATACTTTCAACAATAAAGATAAATTTTTTAAAAAAGTGAATCCTATCAGCACAATCATGACAGGTGCTTCATGCTTTTCTTTTTAGAGAAAATTGATAGTAGAACCAGTGTTTTCGCTTTGCCTTTTAACTCATGTCCGTGCTCCAGGTGTCCCATGGATCCCAGATTGAACACCAGGGGATGCTGGGCCCATGGTTCAGGCAAGTCTGGGTCTGTCTAGGGGCTGAAGATATGACATGCCATGCTTCTCTCTTCCCAAAGGCCAGATGAACTCTGTAGGAAGGAACTCGTGGCAGTAATCAGGGCTGAGAGCTATGGGCCGCCTTCAGGAGTCCCAACTTCTAGTTGGCTCAGTGTCAAGGAGAGCCATTGCCAGAGAACTGAAACCTGAGGGATAAGGAACAAAATGGTAGACTTTGCAAGAACCAATTCTTGGAATACCTATGACAAATGTGTGTCGGGGAGGGATTTCCAAACCATGGGAGGACCTTGAGGGATATTTGATTGCTACTGACACTGTGGAGATATACTTCTTTGGATCCATTATGGTTACTCTGGTCTCACTCTCAGCCTCTGGTCACCTGGAAAACATTATTTTTATATCCCTTTTGAAAGAATAGTTTTCAGGTGGGGTACACAAAGGCACATAGGTGGGCTTCTTGCTCCTGCCTTTAAAACAATAAACACTAGAAGTATCATTTGGAGAAAACAGCAGCTACCAGGAAATTAATTAGCCAAGTTGGGGTGTGTGTGACGGGGTGGGGTGGGGTGGTGGTGGTGGTGGTGGTGGGGCCTTGAATAGCATTTAATCTTCCAAATAAGACATCTTCATTCTTGGGTCAGACTGATAAATGAGGTGGCATTTAGACTGCTAAATTGGATTTATCCCTTTGGCATGCAACCGAGCATCATATGCACTCGATAGACATATTCTATGGTGTTACACTGCTTTCTTAGTATTGCATAGCTAGTCATCTTTCTAGCATTCTATCTGATTTGGAAAATAGTTTAGAACAACCCAGTAACAACTTCACGATAAGAAAAACTATTGTACACCCTTCACAGCTCCTTCCTATTACATGAATGTGTAAATTGAATGCTCTCTCAAGATGAAAAACACAAGGGCTGGCTTCCCAAAAATGTTTTCATTGGCTCTAGGGAACTAAAACACACCAGTCTGGGTGACTAATACTTCCTGTAAAATAAAGACTGATCAACACATAATTAAATTCTGGCTCAAATATAATTGTTGTCTTGGAAACAGTTTTGGGAATAAATGTGGTTATGCTAATGAAACTCCTCATGATTCCCACCAGGGATCCAGTCCATGAATTAGGCCAGGCCATTTTACAACCCGGTGCTACCATTTTGGAACATTTAAAGGGTTAAGTATAGTTCCTAAAAGAACACCGAAGAGGAGAAAAAAAAAGTGATAAATCCTGTAAATTACTTAACAGCTCTCATAAGGATTCCAGTGCTTTTTCGTCTTATTTTGTGGGTTTCCAAGATTCTTTTTTACCCAGTTAGGCAGAAAGTTGTATATTGCGCATTTGGAACGGGTAATTCCTAGAGTTATTTCTCTGAACTCCTTGAGGGCTTTAAAACTGGATGGACCCAAGAGAAGCAAGAGAAGCCAAACCCTGAGTGTGTTTTGGGTCCAGCTCTGAGTATCGAGTCCTTTAGTGGGAAGTTCTACTCAGTGCGTAGCCCCAAGGGCAGCTGCCTGCTCGGGAGGGTTTGGCTGGAGCCAAGTGTGAACTCCTGGCGCCGGAGCGCATCGCGGCTCTGATCACACCCACTCGGGGTGCGCGTGTGAGCGCGTGTGCCTGCGCGCGTGTACGTGTGGGGAGGTGTGCGCCAAGGGGTGGGGTCAGGGGCCTCGAGGAGGGCGCTAGGTGACTCCGGAGCCGGGGAGGTCGTGCGCTC